CCCCCCCCCCCCACTGCTCCGGAGTCTTCTCCACATTTGCACTCTTGTCACTTCATCAGGCCCTCGTGAAGCCCCCCACAGGTTATCTCAGCCGCCCTATAGGCTGCCTGCAGCCATTTGCAGCTTGTGAAAATGATTTTCTCAGACCTCGCCTGAGATAATGTCCCTGGGATAATGACTCAGTAGATGGAGAGAGATTGCACTGCCACCCGCCAGGCTGCCTGCAGCTTGGGAACTCTCCAGTGTGTTTACATGTTGATATGCAGCCAGTAAGGAAGCCCGCAGCCAAGTGTGAGCCACTGGAAAATAGTAAAATGAGAGGCTTCAACTCTCTCCGCCTAATCTAATCTACCTCAATGACTTAGGACTAACTCTTCCTAGAATGTTTGGTTACCAAGATAAGGTTGCTCATATAAATAAGTGATCATTCCAAACCCAGCCCCTCACAGAATGTGGGAAGGTCAGCATTCTGACCTCTTCTGTTTGAAGGGCCCTGTCTTTCCTCCTCTGGTCTCTCTTTTTCCCTGAGATCCAGCCCCCTGACTTCTGACTCTTGTCTTCAACTTATACGCCCTGACCTCTTTGAAGTCTGATATTGATTACAGTGAAATGTCAATTGTCCGATTGCAGTAGGGCACCTGGAACTTATTCAGATAAGCAGAGGCGTTTCAAATGTTAACGAAGCACGTTGCGGAGCCATGACCTTCTTCTAAATAACGGTGTTTCGGGAAAAAGAGGGTCAGGCGATTGAAGTGTTGCTCTCTCTCTTTTATTAGTTCAGTTGCTTTTTCTCACCACAAGACACTGATTGAATTATGGTGCATTTTGGACCGTGTATGTCTGCCCCCAGGACAGAAGTTTTGGACATTGAGACAGATGAGCTGTTCCAGGGTTGCCTGGTGTTGCTCATTCAGACTTAACTTTTCAGGCAATAAAATTTCCCAAGTCCCTAAGTGAAACTGTTGTTTCTCTACGTGCATTGGTTGAGTCTTCGGCCAAAAAGTGTTGACTGATATTCAAACGTGCAAAGAAGCATCCTAAGTAAGCAAAGCATGTTCCACCAAACTTTTTTTGTTTAATACCTCCTGATGAAAGCCACTGACCTTTGTCTGGTTACTAAATGAAAAGGGCTTAACGGTTTCAGGCACCCCATTACATTTTGCTGCTTCCTCCATGTGGGCGAGGGTTGGGGAGGAGGTGTCGGAGAGCGCTGCTAAGGAGGAAGGTAACCTAGTAACAAAGGGTGTGCATCGCAACTGGGGTGCTGCGAGAGAATTAGGGTCTCTAGGAAAGGGTTCAAGGCATTCCTTCCTCGACTGTCCCAAGGATAGAACATTCTAGATATGAGGGAGAGCAGTAAATGATCACATACGTGGGAGGTATTAGGATTTAACTCTCTTGTGGAACCTGGTCGAGAAGCACAGGTGTGTCCAGGGGGCCAGGGTTCACTGCATCTTGCTGCGCAGGGTGGAAAGAGGGGCATTTACAGACCACAGACTGGGCGAGGCCTGCCACTTAATTTCCAGTGGCCTCCCTTTTACGCTTTTTATCCAAGTCAGGTCAGTGACCAAAACTAAGCAAACAGACAGGCCTTTATTTTGAACCAGCTTTGTAACAACATCTCCATTCATTCTGCTACGCAAGCTGAGGCTCCCTGCTGTCCCCCCGTTTAGTGTATGAAGTCGCCCAGGGTGTAGACTTTGAGCGATTCCTATCATCTAACCACACTGGCTCAGGCTAATGCATCACTTGTTCCCACCTCAGTCACAACTTCGGTGGTTATAAATCTGTTTTGGATTAGGTTTGCAGGATATGATAACTTCACCAGCAAAATCACCTTGTTCATTGGGCCTCATCTTCCTGCCACTGTCAGGATCCTCGGTTCATCCAGACTACTTTAGCACCTAGCTCCTCTTTATGGAGCTGATTATTATAGGCAAATGCTGTGTGTTATGGAGCCTTGACAATCTCTGATTACAAACAAATGAATAAATGTTATGTACAAATATTTTAAATTCTACAGTGTTATCATGTCGGTCTGATACAATCAGTAGACTTGTTCCATGTCATCCTCTCAGAACTAGGATTTTACAAACTCTTTCAGGGGCAGCTCGGGCAGTAATTACTCATTCCTGGGCCTAGTATCTCCCACAATGCCTTCCAACTGCATCCAGCTCTAAACTGAAAAGGACAGGCAGTCCATTAAGTAGGGTGAGCATCCCATGTGGTACTGTGCACCCAACAAAGGATAATTTCAGAAGGTTGCCAGGCATTGCCCTATAATCTAACACCCACTTGAGGAAAGAGCCATCCTACCTTCAGTCAAGTACTAACGTGGCTGCCTTTTTCTTAACTGCAAGTTCCTTAACAGCCTGGCACTCAAGGCCCTCCCCAGAGTTATGCTAGTTGCTTTTGAACTCTACCTCCATCCCTTCTAGTCATACCAGCTGCTTTCCCCTTTCTGTTCCAGCTGTTTATTGAGCCTGGAAGGCCCACCTACTCACATTTCTTTCCTTACCATTCTTACCCCATCTCTGTCTTTTCATACCCCAGCCATCCACTGGGGACTATTTCAGTCACCTCACTTTCAGTTTTTCCTGTTCCTTTCGACAAAATGGATTCTCTCCCTTTCCCAAACCTTCCTGGTGCTTTGTTTGTGTGTCTATCTTCCACTCTGTCGTGGTCTACCTGGTATTGTTAGTTTGCTGGGTACAGGTCTTAGTGGCTCCCTTCCCCAACCCCTAGGCTTTGAGCTTCCTGACAGTGGGACTTTTGTCCTAGATGCTTTTATATCTCACCCAGTACTTAAGTGCCTTACTGAGTAAACATATTCAATTGATGTAAAAGATGCAGTACAGAGAAGGGTTCCGAACCTTATACTCTCTCGAGTTTTCGTTACACAAGTCTCGCACTTGCTGGTCCTGCCATAATGTGGGACAGGCCTTCCCAGTTTGCATTCTACTGGTTCTTTAAAAAAAGAAGAAGAAGACGGACAGGTTCTGAGGTCGTGTAAATTTGGGGAACTTGCCTACCATACCCCTTCTTGAGGACCCGCAATCCACAGAACATATGACCAGTAGAGGAGACTGTTTTAACTTCACTACGTGCAGGTCTACTAATTTGTCTGGCCTCAGACCATGTTCCCCCTCTGCGTATGTACTCACGTCCTACAGCA